CCAGTCAGCACTTGAAAGCCTCCAGTGATGGAGGCCACACAGCCACCCTGGGGCTCTGTTCTGCTGCTGAACTGTCCTCAAGGTGGGGGGAGACGGGATGGGACGATGGTGACGGACATTCCCCCCCACCCCCCCCCCCCATCAGAATATCTCTTATTTCAACACATGTGTTACCTCTTGTCCTCCTGCCGCACGCTACTGTGAAGAGACTAATTCCATCTCGTTTATCTTCTCATGGGACCTGGAAGGCTGCTGTTAGGCCTCCCTGAAGATTTCTATTCTCCAGGCTGAATGAGCCTGGTTCCCTTGGCCTCCTCTCATAGGAAAAGTGCTCCAGTCCCCAACCGTCTTGGTGGCCCTCCACCAAACTCCTCCAGTGTGATGTCTTCCACAGAAGATCTAACGATTTCCGTGTAGAAGGAAATAATCACTTCCCCTTGATCTTCTGGTTCTGTTCCTGTTAACATAGCCCAGGATGCCACTTGCCTTTGCTCAAAGGACACACTGCTGGCTCATGTTCTGCTTTCTGTCTGTCAGAGCCCCAGCCAATCTTGCAAAGTTGATCCCCAGCCAGTCTTATCCTGAGGTTCTTCCTTCAGATGCAGATCTTTGTTTTTGTCTCCGCTGAATTTCATGAGGTTCCTGTCAGCCACTTCCTTCAGCCTTACTGAAATTGAGGTAAGTGACATCCACTCCTCTCCCCTCGTCCACAGATCCTGCCATTTTTAACACGGAAGGTGGTCAGGTTGGTCATCAGGTCATGATTTATCCTTGGTAAATAATGCTGACTGATCCCAGTCACCACCTTTCCATGTGTTATAGAATTGTTTAGGTTGGAAAAGAACTGTAAGATCATCAAGTCCAACTATTTACCTAGAACTGCTATGTCCACTACTTAACCATGTCCGTAAGCACCACATCTACACATCTTTTAAATACCTCCAGGGATGGTGACTCCACCACTTCCCTGGGCAGCCTGTTCCAATGCTTGACAACCCTGTCAGTGAAGAAATTTTTCCTAATGTCCAATCTAAGCCTCCCCTGGTGCAACTTGAGGCTATTTCCACTTGTCCTATTGCTTGTTACTTGGGAGAAGAGACCAACCCCCACCTGCCTACAACCTCCTTTCAGAAATGTCTTCCAGAAACATAATACATCACTTCCGTAGAGACCAAAGTGAGGTTAACCAGCCTGTGGTTCCCTGGGGTGAACTTTTAGCCCGTTCTAAAGACGGGTGTAACATTTGCCATTTTCTAATCATTACAGATACCCCCTGATCTCCACAACCTACGATGGTAAAGAAGAGACCCATGAGAACATCAGTTATCATAGCGTGCTCTTGAAAGCAGCCTGTCCGTTCTGAATGAGTCAAGTTCACATGTTTAACATGTGCAGCAAGCCAATTCACAGGCCACTCAAGCAATCAATGCTTAACAAATCAATCATGGATAGAAGCTATATTATCACTTAAGGCAGAAAAACTTTGTTCTATCAATGATTTCAGGGTAATCACTCTATACAAGCTGCTCCTTGTCAGCAAGATGAGAAATTGTAACTTGTTTACTTCTCAGCTCTACCCAGCCAACCATGACACCACCAATCATGATCACATGTGACTTTCACACAATACATTACCGCCTCAGTAAGGTTGTCCTTGTTTGGGTTTTTTTTTTTATCCTTTGAAAGAGCCTTACACTTTGGCTGTGGTTTTTGCTCTGAATTCTTCTGTCTGGTGAGACACTTTAAAGGGCTGTCTAGGAATCACAGAACATCTTTTCACTAATGTGTTTTTTTAAGTAGATCTATGCTTTCAAAACTATATCCATCATATTACCGAATAAATGTAATAAGTTTTACTTCTTAAAAAAAAAAGCAGTAATAAGGACTAAGTAAGAGCCTGCAGCCCATTCAGCTGATCAGCAGTTAGGTCTATTAGTCTTTTGCGCATTACAAAGAAGTTTGGCCAGAAGATCAAGGGCACATGATTATTTCCTTCTACACAGAACTTATTTGGCATCATCTAGAATACTGTGTTTTGGTTCTCCCAGTGCAAGAAAGACATCAAACTGGAGGAGTTTGGTGGAGGGCCACCAAGACGGTTGGGGACTGGAGCACTTTTCCTATGAGAGGAGGCCAAGGGAACCAGGCTCATTCAGCCTGGAGAATAGAAATCTTCAGGGAGGCCTAACAGCAGCCTTCCAGGTCCCATGAGAAGATAAACGAGATGGAATTAGTCTCTTCACAGTAGCGTGCGGCAGGAGGACAAGAGGTAACACATGTGTTGAAATAAGAGATATTCTGATGGGGGGGGGGGGTGGGGGGGAATGTCCGTCACCATCGTCCCATCCCGTCTCCCCCCACCTTGAGGACAGTTCAGCAGCAGAACAGAGCCCCAGGGTGGCTGTGTGGCCTCCATCACTGGAGGCTTTCAAGTGCTGACTGGATAAAGCTACCTGGTCTCACCTCATGGCTGATGCTACACTGAGTAGGTCTATCAGACTCCCGACATCCCTTCTAACCCGAGTCGTCTTTTGACCCTGTGAAGTATGACTGTCCTTAATAAGATTAATTCATACTATTAAAAGGAGGTAGCCACCAGGATAAGTGCATTCTCATGTCCATAATACTACAATCATTTCTGATTTTGGTTTTACTTGCTCCCATTCTCCTTCAAGAAATAAATAACTAGAAGTGGTTTAATTCTATTTGATATCCGAAGTGAAAGTATTAGTCTTTAAAAGA